CACACACACACATACATACACACACACATACACACACAATGCAATAACTTTTGAAAATATAAAGTATAGAAGGAGAAAAAGGGATAGTAAAGAAAATAATGTAATGACAAAATTAATCAGTCAATCAAATTAATGAAAATAACCGAAAAATAGTTTATCCACTTCATCGTATATACTTTTCTCGTTACTTTCTTGTAATTCTCTGAGTGGGTTAATTCGGATAGTAGAATTTTCGTTCTGTACTTTTAAATTTGTGACATTCGGCGAATAGATCGTATTTTGCTTCTCATCGTTTCCCATTTTCAAATAAAAAAAAGCTGAAAAACAAATGAAAATTTCAATTAACACAAAACAGTGATGGAAATTTCTTTAAAACAATAGCAATGCAAAATTTTTTTGTTTTTTAATTAACTAATTGTTTCTTAAATAGCTGATCAATGAAAGCTGATCGAATTAGTGAATTATGAAGAAATCGATGTAAGTAAACGAGCGAAATTTTAGTCATATCAATCACATTATAGCGATGTTATCATTTTGTCATCACATACTCATCATATCAAACAAATGCATGTAAATTAAGCATCCATCCAAATTAATTAAAAAAGTGAAAGAACACAAATGAAAATTCAATTTAATTCAAATTTCATTTTGTCTCGTTTCGTCATTTGCGCAAGAAAGAGCCTCTTTGAAAATGTCATTCCCAACCAGAATCCTTCAATAAATTAATATTGAACATTTTTTCCCTTTCACTGTCACATTCTCTCTTTTCCTTTTCGTCTCCTTCTCTCTCTCTTTCTTTCTCTTTTCGTTTTTACTATCCATTTCTTTCCCATTTTTTTTTCGCAATTTAAGAATGAGAAGAGTGATGTTGGCAATAAGTTAAACTTGGTGCAAAAAAGTAAATGAAATATGTAAATGGGAAAATTTTGCTGGAAATTGAAAATTTATTAGGAAATGAAAATTCTCTCTCTCTCTCTCTCTCAAAGTAGTCTTCAAAATGTTGTAATTTCAAAAATATTTCTGATTGGATGTATACTTGAAAACTAACAAGGAATGAATTAGCAATGAATGAATGAATATTATTGAAATAAATTTGATTTTTAATTAATGAGTTACATATAAAAGCTTATCATACATCGAAATCTGAAAATGATAATAAATATTTGTTTAATTTTTCTTCTACAATATCAACATTTTCCTGAACAAAATATGCTGAGCAATAATGGAATTGTTTTTCATGTTCAATATATGACCACTAAAGGATTAATCTAATTAGACCTAAAAAAATCAATTGCAGCAAACTTTCGAGAAAAATTTTTCCGCTCTTGAAGATATTCCCATCTTTTACGGATCATTGATGCAAGCTGAACAACAATGAAGCGATTTAGCAGATAGCTAATTAAATCCAATCAGATTGATGAGGCTCTTTGCAGTCTTTATATGAAGGAACTGCCAGTGTAATAATATTTTAGTAATTGCAAAATTAAATATTCATATTAGTTAAAAGAATACTGGGAAGCGAAAAACATTTTTTCATGGGATATTTTTAAGTCTTTTAGTAATTGCAAAATTAAATATTCATATTAATTTAAAAAAATACTGAGAAGCGAAAAGCAGTTTTTTGTTTTTGGACGAAATTACAATTTTAACTGATAGAAAATTATTATGTTTCAGAATTGCCAATAGTGATTCCAATTGCATTCTGTTACATCAGGATATCGCATGAAATAAACTTTTTATTTAAAAAAAAAAATTCCAAAAAAAAGAGTTTTTTGCAAAAGTTCGAGAAAGTGATATCAGTAGTGTTCTGAAAAGATTTATGATATTTGAATAATTTTTTGATGCATTTATTCATTTATTAGATAATAAAAGTTGAAAGTTTTAAAACAATAAATTTAAATTTCTAACAAGAGCTCTGCAGCATTGCATTTACGTGATAACTTTTAATAAACTGGTTTTTTATGAGAATACTTTTCGAATATTCTTCAAGAAGAGTGCAAATAGCTGCTGATTAACATATTTTGGAATGAGTATATTTTGATGGCTCAAAATTTGAAGCACTATTCTCTGTGATAAGAATCTGCTGCATTGAGAATCAAGCAGTTGATCTAA